ATGAAAATTACAGGCCTCTCTCATCTTTTTAAGTGGGAGAACTTGCACAATTGGTGGCTGACTAAATACTTTTTTGCCCCACTGTAAATCAAGTGATTGCTGCTGAAGATTTTAATCCATTTTTTTAAAGAATATGATTAAATGTTCATTATCAAATGACATCCATGGTAGCTACCACTAAATCTGTATGTAGGATTGAGACATATATAGTGATATTCTTCAAATTTGAAGAAACCTGCTATCAGGGCTGAAATTAAACAGCATTCTTACAAAATATCTACATTAATGAGGAATTTTTAAAGATTCATATTTTGCTTTCTCCATAGTCATCTAGAATTGCAAAAGAAAAATATCTGTGAAAAAACAATGGCATCTGTGGACAAAGCAAGAGAGCTAACAAATAAGCAATCTATTCATGTAAGTCAATTTCATATTTAAAGTTAATCTGCTGAATGGTTCAGTACAGTAAATGAATCAAATGAAGGTGCTGAGTTGTCTGGCATTTTATTGCTTAATTAATTAGTCACTCTCTCAATATTTTTTATATTTAAGATTGAAGAATTTGAACAATACTACAGACCCCTTAAAATAAATCAGAATTATAATAAAGGACAAGAAAATACAGATGGGTAAGTTCCCAAAATATATTAGATATGCTGTTTGCCCCTCTCCCTGCCTTTTCTAACCATATTGCTTCATTTTAGGCACTTTTCTCTTGAATCAAAACCAAATATTGTCCAATATGACAATCTCACTGCATAAAGTTCTGAGTGTTTTATAGATAGAATTATAGCTACTGCTGGTAATTTTTTTAAATCACATGTTGCTACTATTTGGCCAGGTATCAAAATGTCAATCAAATTAAGTTCAGATCTCCTCACATAGTAATCTGATACTATACAATGCTAATTTTTTTTTCATTCCCATCAGGAATTTAAATTATTGGAAAATAAGATCTTCAGCTTTAGCAATTTCAGACAGTCAAGAATCTAATGTGGCTGATTTCACTGTACTGAAAGAACAAGGTAGAACAAGATAAAAATAAACATTTGTGTTTTAATCAGTACATGAAATCATTCTAATAAAAGGCATCCAGTAATCACTTTTTTACCTGTAATATTTTCCATAGGAAGGTTAGCTTATGTTTCAGATAACTATGTTATTGGAAGAGTGAGACATTCTACCGATGAGCATATTATTATTATACATCCTAGATTGAAAATACAGTTATCAAGAAATCATATATACTCCTGTTCTTCTAATAGGTTAGTATGTATATTGCTATACCTAATGTGAATCAAATTAGCATTCTTATCAATATAAAATACCAAAAAAAAGTAGTTTACCCCACAGACTTATACAACAAGCCTATACATGTTTACTTAGAAGTGAGCTCAGCTGAGTCATACATACCCCTACGTAAGTGAATATAAGACTGCAAGACCCACTTGCCTAGGAAGATTGCTAAGATTAGCAAGATTTGTTTCTGAATAAGCATGTATAGGTAGTCCTCAACTTATGACAATAGGGCCCAGAAAATTCATTAAGTGGTGCAGTCATTAAACGAGCCATCACATGACCACACCCAATTTTACAACATTTTTTGCAGCGGTCATTAAATGAATCACACAGTTCCCCATGGATTTTGCTTGTCACAAGCCAGCTGGGAAGATTGAAAATGGCGATCACATGACCCTGGGATGGTGCAACCGTTGTGAACACATGCCGGTTGCCAAGCACCTGAATTTTGATCACATGAATGCGGGATGCTGCGATGATCATAAGTGCAAAGACTGGTCACTTTTCAGTGGTGTTGTAACTTCAAACAATCACTAAACAAATGGTTATAAGTTGAAAACTACCTGTATGGGATTTGCACCATTTCTAACCTGCATGTTTGCTATTAAATTTCAGTTAAATCTCTGTGCTATATTGTCATTTTAATATAGAAATAAAAAAATGGAATACAGAAAAGCAAACAGAGGAAATTCTGACTATGAAAAATTTTCAATCTCCTTTGAAGAAAAGCCACTGGATTTAGATGTAACAGGTACATAAACTATGTATACTTTAAGTGTTATCATAATCCAGTCTCATTTACAAAAAAATCAAATATCCATTTCTCACCCTAACATAAAAGAATAAAGTTGAGAGGCTTATAAATGTATCTCTCCAGGTATACTGTACATACAGTACAGTATACTGTACAGTACAGTATACTGGAGACATACTGTACATACACATGCATGCATTCACACTCATACAAATAAAATATTTTACTTCACACCTAAAAGATTACAGTTTAGAAGTAATTCCAAAATTAGAATGCCATTGTAGAAAAAAAAATCTGCCTTTGTAGATGATTTACATGTTTCTTATTGAAGAAACTAGGGAGGCCTTCTGATCATGGTCATAATGCATGAGCAGACTGATATGAGATGATGTGCTCCTTCATAAGCTTTTAGGATCTCAGTAGTGAATACGTCGTGGTCATGTAACTGGGTCAGAATTGACATGCTCACTATGACAAACCAGCTAGAATTATGTACCACCTGGAGCTTTTGAATCATTTTTCAAGGGCAATCTCACATGTAATCTATTAGTGCTTTGAGTGTTCTAGATTCAAAAGAGAGACATGATTTGGAGAGATGTACCTGTCAGTAACTCCTTAAATAAGCTTTTTTTCTGAATTTAGATGCAAACCTAGAAAAGATGCATTTGATTTAAAGAGGTCAAACAGGTATAATATACATGCCTGCAAGGGCTCCACTTTCCCCCTTCAAATTTGGACCTGTACACAGTCTTGTAATGTATTATGTAATTCAGCTTAGCAGTTATATTAGATATCTATACTAAACTATCTGTATCCAGAAAAAGTTAATCATGAACCACAAAGCTGGTGGAAATTTCTGTCTAGGAATGTGGTGAATTGCCTATTCTGGGTGGGACTGCCCTTCCCCTGAAGAAGCAGACCTGTGCATGAGAGCACACTTGGATTCAGCGCTGTCTCTTGAGGCTCAAATTATTTCTTTGGTCTTACAGAACAAATCTGTGGAAACAGAGTTTGCAGCAAGATAGCAGCAAAGAAAATCTCATTATACAAATACATTTCTGCTTGTACGGCATTGTATTCTGTATTGCTGTAGAAAAAGCCTGATCACACTAGAGCAGAATTAAATAGTCTGTAATCTAGCTCTCCATAGTGACGTACCTTAATCTTTTCATAGCCTTTATAAATTGCTATCTCCTAGCAAAAGGACTATGTTACTTACTTCAGAGTCTTCTTTTCTAATAATTAAAAGGCAGTATTATAATAATTCAAAGCTTTTAAATAATTAGGGCAGGAACTGAGGTTAGCCAATATGCTTATTTAATATTTATTTATAATTATTTTCAGGTTCTTCACAAAAGAATAGCATTGCCCTTCAAAGGATTTGTAAAGATAAACAAAGAGAATATTTTATAGACAGATTATGTGACAGGTAAGATCTATTATAGTTTGAACCAATCTATACCCAGCTATGCAGACTTATACTTCTGTAAAATCTTAATTCTGCAGATATATTTAAGTTAAAGGGGAAAATTGTAATTTTTGGATGTAAGCCTTTTCTCTTGTGCTTAAATGCATGAAAGCAGCCTGAGAAACAATGCATAATTAACACCTTGAGTTCAGCTCTTCGCTAGCCAGGCTTCTACATTTTGCATATTAAACATGGAATGTATTGTTGCATTAACGTTTTTCTTCTTATTTTCTTTTGCTCTGTCTTCTTTTTAGGCAGAATCTAAATATTCCCCAAACGCGCTATTCAAAGATGCATGATACCATTATCCTTTCACCACAGTACCTCTCTGGTAGGAATATCAGTGGAAGGCAGTCGATCAGTAATCGGAGAAAAAGGCGAAGCAAAGACACAAATAGCATGGTAAGAGAGGATCATTACTTACAAAAGCAATATTGTTTGGTAGTTGGTGAAAAGTTTGAGAAATTTACATTTCAGATATTTAAATTTAAGAAATTTACAAGAAGATTAGACATGGTTGGCATGCTCTCAGTCCTGTTGCTTAGGCAGTGTCATCTGACAGGACCTAGAACACACGCCTTCTCTGTTGGAGTAACATCCCCGCTTAGATTTTGGTTGGCCCTGATTCTGCTTGCCTTTCAAAAGACGTTAAATTCCTGCTTTCTTCCTTAGGCATCGGGTCTGGAAGTAATATGACCTGTTGGATGGGTTTTTTCCCCAGCACTTTGTGTGTTCGTATGTGGTTGCTCTGGGTTTTTAAGCTTTGGCCTATTATGTGGTTTTTGTTGACTTTTTATTGTTTATTGGTGAAGTATGCCGCTCTGAGTTGTGTGCTGACTAGGGTAGCTATATAAACCAATCAGTCAATCAAATAGTTAAAAATAGGTTGTTTAATCTGGTTAAAAACGTATTCTCCCCCTAGAGGTGTGGCAGGCCCCTACCCTCCTGGCTTTCCAAAAAGGATTAAAGACCTGGCTCTGCCAGTGTGCATGGGGCGAGATGGGCTCTAACTGTCCCTGGGGGTGGTTAGCGCCCTGATGATGCTCCCTTGAATTATTCGCCAACTCTCCATCTTTCTTGGAAGCTATTTATTATTAGGACTGTTCTATATTGTATTTTAATTAATTTTATCTTTGTTGTAAACTGCTCAGAGTCATTTCAACGAGATGGGCAGTGACAAACTTGATAAATAAATAACTAAATGTTTGATAATTATCAAGTTTTGTCCTTAACAGATATTAAACTCCACTTTGGATCATGCTATTCAGGCGGCAAACAATTTGAAGAAAACAACAGAACACATGATGCAAGCTGTCTTAGAAGATTTAGCCAAGGTTAAAATTCAGGCATTATCCAGCGGCACAGCTCATCAGTACTGACAGTGCATTTTGAAGAATAAACTGAATCTAAAAGAGAGAAGACTTCCATGCATAAAAAAATTAAATATACCATTGTAAAAAGAAAGAAACTTCTCATGTTGGTTTTGATGTAGCTAAATCCCATGTTCTAAATAAATCTAATTATTTTTGTTATGCCACATATCATCTTAGATATACCAAACAGTATCTTACTCAATTTTAGATCATAAAATGTTTTTGTTTTCTTAAAAAGTATATGGTTCTTTGTAATAAAATATCATACCTGACATGTGATGTTATCTACATTCATAAATGGAAGTAGTCAGTAATGATACTCATATTCATCCCTTGAATGCACCAACATTTCCCATGTCCCAGAGGTATCTTACTCATTCCCATCAGCACCATCCCACCAGCTTCCTGTGCAAGCCAGGAAGGGCAGGGATCAAAACAAGTAGCAGAGGACAACCAAGACAGCATTCTACCTACTTCCTCGAAGGTTGTGGATCAGGAGTCCCAGATAACGGGACCTAAGTTACCATCAAAGACATGCAGAGTGAAGGCTGGAACCAATCTGAGTGACTGTCAGTACAATTTTGTTCACTCTGTTCATATCATCTTGTCAGAAGCCATTATCTATTAAATGTATTCAAAGAAAAGGAAATTCATGGCCAGAAAGAATGAATCTCATAGAGCTCTAGAGAAAAGGTTGTCTCTACTTTTTTTTTCCTTCCAAGTTTGCCTATGGGTGGGAAATGTATCAAAGGAAAACTTGAATTAAGTTATTGCTGAAGAGGCCATCCAGCCTTCATGGCTGAAGCCAGGTTGGGTTGTTCAGCCTAATTATTGGCTAGAATGAAGAGATCCTGTAGTGTAACAATGCTATATTGATCTGAAACTGGAATGTGAATGTTGCTTCTCCTTCTAATCTAGTTTTGGTTCCCTGTTTGGAGAGAAGATACTGAAAGAAAAAACAAATGTGAGACCTTGTCCCTTGATCAAGCAGGGAATACCTAGATGTAACCATTAATATTTATTATGGTGTCTGACCACTCATATTCAAAACACACACAAAAAAAATCTAATCCTACAATACAAGCAGCATGTGTTTAAATACAGAAAATATTGAAAAGGGAAAGAAGAAAAAAACCCAGTATTATAATTATCTAACGTTCAAGCTGCAATCTTTTTACTTTTTCCATTATTTCTAGTTGTCTAAATTTTTACTCTTATGAACTGTTTTGTGTGCTGGATCTCCCTGGACAAAACAGAAACATGCTGGAAGAAATCAGTGGACCTTTCTAGGCAATTCTTTAAAATAGGTAAAACTGATTTCTGGCAAATATGATAAAAGAAATAATACTAATATATGTGATCTCTGGTATTTATCTTCTGTTCATTGCAAGGCAAACTCATTTAGTGAAAGGGTTCTTTTCATAGTGACATTTCATTACAATGGGTAGGTACACCAAAACAAGCCAGTGTGATGGGGGAAATAAGCCTCTCTGTGCAGTCTTATCCAACGCTATAACAACCTCCAAATTCCAGAGATTGACTATGGGCACAGATGAACTGTCTGCCAAATTACTAGGAAAATCCCCAAATGCTGTCTGAAGACCAGCTAGATGAATTAGGTTTTGGGGGTCGGGGGTCGGTCTTGAATCCTTGCAGAGACCATAGACAGCAATGAGCACATATTGACCAGAACTGATCTGACCATGGCAAAGAACTAACAGTAACATTCAGATTACAAAACAGCTGCTTCAAGGTAAAGAGCAACTAATGTGTAGCCACCTGTATGGATCAGAGTTGAAATTACCTGGGAACAAGCTCATGGTTTTCATGGCCTCCTGACCTCTCCTAGAACTTGGAGATTGAAATCCCTCAGCACCAAAAAGTTTGGGGATTTCCAAGATCAGCTTTAAATGAGATCCAGGAGTTTGGGAAGGGATTCTGCTGAGCAGAACACTCAGTAACAGAATCCTTAACTCGTCCCTACAGACCAATGTCATATACACCTAGCACCTGCAGAGACTCTCCCATTGTCAAAGCCAAGGGAACTTGAAGGAACACTACTAATCCCACTTCTGGAGTCAAGACAGCAGAAACACCCTGAACTAATAATAGTGCTACATCCCCACCCCCCTTCAACCAAGTTTCTGTAATGTATACCAGGACTGCTCACTCATCCATGACCAAGTCATGAGTGAACCCAGTCTTATTACATGCAGTCCTGGCATTAATCAGGAACAGCCTTGTCCCACATTTGGGATCAAACTGTTATAAGTGTTTTCTTCTTCCATGGCATGAGTATTGCAGCTCCTGTATATTGAGATTAGCACCTGCACATCCCATTGTGTAAACATTTCCTTGTTAATTTGGGAAAGAAACAAATGAGTAGGCTTGTCTTTGGGACCTTGAAGAGTCCCACTATCTCCACTCTCTGTATTATATGTAGATTCATGGACAGATTATTTATCATTTAGTCTCAGTACTTGCCTTTCTGAGAAGCTGGTGTTTTGTGTTCACAATAGTAGCTATTTATTGAAAAGTTTTTCACTTTTCAATAAATTTTGAAAACTCTTTCACTTTTCAAAAATCTGAAAGTTGTTTTTTTTAAAGAAACATCCATTGGTCCCAAACGTTGGGA